CCCCCAACACCATGGCTCTGCTGAAGCAGCACTTGGCAATCACGGGTGGGCAGGTAAGGCTGTGTCCCCCAGGCCAGCAGTTCCCCGTGGTGGTGGCACTGATGTGCCATGCTCTGGTTGGGTGGTGGGTTGGCTGGAGGACACTCAGCTCAGTGTGGACACGGCCAGCACCCATGTGGCATGGGGAGCTCTCTGGAATCATGGAGGAATCATGCCAGTGCTCCCAGAGGTGTCCCTTTCCTTCCTGCAGGTGCGGACACGGTTCCCTCCTGAGCCCAACGGGATCCTGCACATCGGCCATGCCAAAGCCATCAACTTCAACTTTGGCTATGCCAAGGTAAGAAGCTCCTCAGCTCCTGCCTGCCCTGGCTGCTTGGCCTGTCCCTGTGGTCCCTCAGGGAGTGGCTGCTCACTGTCCCTGTCCCCAGGCCAACGGTGGCGTGTGCTTCCTGCGCTATGATGACACCAACCCCGAGAAGGAGGAGGAGAAGTACTTCACTGCCATCCGGGACATGGTCGAGTGGCTGGGTACAGCTTGGGATGGGGCGGGCAGGGTCAGGCCAGGCGCTGCTGGGGACATCCCTGCATGCAAGTCCTGCTGCTGTGTCCTGGGGGTGCCTCCAACTGTTGTGTTTCCCCCATCCCCACAGGCTACCAGCCCTATGCAGTGACCCATGCATCAGATTACTTTGACCAGCTCTACACTTGGGCCCTGGAGCTCATCCGCAGGTGAGTGTTCGGGGGCAGTATGGATGTACCAGCATGGTGCAGATGTCCTGTGCCATGGCCAGGGTTCCCCCTCACCCAAGGGATGGGTCATTCGTTTCTGGTGATGGTGGTTTCCCTCCATAGGGGCCAGGCATACGTCTGCCATCAGAAGATTGAGGAGATCAAGGGCCACAACCCACCACCCTCTCCATGGCGGGACCGGCCAGTGGAGGAGTCACTCCTGCTCTTTGAGGTACTCCTGGCTGGGCACAGGTGATGTGTGCCAGTGGGGTCTGGGTCCATGGCTCAGCTGACAGCTTCCCCCTGCCCCACAGGACATGCGGAAGGGCAAGTTTGGGGAGGGGGAGGCCACGTTGCGGATGAAGCTGGTGATGGAGGATGGGAAGATGGACCCCGTTGCGTACCGCGTCAAGTTTACTCCACACCACCGCACTGGGGACAAGTGGTAGGGAGGGTCTGCGGTGTCCTGGCATGTGTGGGTCTGCATCTCCTGGGAATGGGGAGGTGATGCAGACTGACTGTGGGGTCTGACTGTGTCTGCCTTTGCAGGTGCATCTACCCCACATACGACTACACACACTGCCTCTGCGACTCCATCGAGCACATCACGCACTCCCTCTGCACCAAGGAGTTCCAGGCCAGGTGAGTACGGCCTGGCCCGTGGCTGGGATGGACCTGATGGGGCAACTAGCCACATCCCAGTGGCTGCCGAAGTGTTGGATGACAGTGCATCCATGGATGGGTGTGAGGCTGTGTCTCCTTTGCAGGCGCTCCTCCTACTTCTGGCTGTGCAATGCACTGGATGTCTACTGCCCCGTGCAGTGGGAGTATGGGCGCCTGAACCTGCTCTACACTGTTGTATCCAAGAGGAAGATCATCCGGCTGGTGGAGACAGGTGCTGTGAGGTAGGAGTGGGGTCAGCAGGCACTGCGGGTCTCACCTAGGGCAGTGCCTGGCTGTCACACAGGCCAATGCCTGGCTGTCACCCTGGTGTCTCTTCAGGGACTGGGATGACCCGCGGCTCTTCACGCTGACAGCCCTGCGCCGGCGAGGCTTCCCCCCCGAGGCCATCAACAACTTCTGTGCACGGGTAGGTTCTGGGGATAGGGTGGGATGGGGCAGGTGGATATGTCCCCTGCACAGTGTGGTGACAGTAGGCTGTCCTGCAGGTTGGTGTGACAGTGGCCCAGGCAACGATGGAGCCGCATCTCCTGGAGGCATGTGCACGGGAGGTGCTGAATGAGCAGGCCCCCCGTGCCATGGCTGTCCTGTTGCCCCTCAAGGTCACCATCACGAACTTCCCTGCCCCTAAGGTGAGACTGCTGCAGGATAGGGTGGGAGTGGGGTTCACCAGGGTCAGCATTAACCCCCTCCTTTTCCCCAGGCACTCGAGGTCCTTGTGCCCAACTTCCCAGCCGATGAGAGCCGGGGTTTTCACAAAGTGCCCTTCCAACCCACTGTCTACATTGAGGAGACAGACTTCAGGGAGGTGAGCCAGGCACACCGGGCCATGCAGCCCTGCCCTTGCATGGGGAATGGATTGTGAGTCCTGAACATGCCCCCAGCTCTGATGGGCACAGGGGAAATGCCCCCTGCCATCAGCTCAGCGGGGACATGTCTGGTGTGCTTGTGTGCTGGGGAACGTCCTGCAGTAGCATGACAATTCAAACAGCACGGGGATGGCAGGAACTGGGGAGGAAATACAATCATGGAGACAGAGACGTGCTGGAGGGGGGACCTGCTGCCTGCGCTGGGATACCTCATGCAGCTATGAACTCTCCCACAGGAGATGGACAAGGGCTACAAGCGCCTGGGCCCCGGGCAGCCTGTGGGGCTGCGCCACACTGGCTATGTCATTGCTGTCCAGAACGTCATCAAGGTGAGTGGCTCTGGCACCAGTGACATGAGGATGGGCTGTGGGATGTCAGGACATGGCCATGCCCCAAAGGGAAGAGACGTGATGGTTGTCTTGGGCTGGGTGCTGAGGGCACAGTGTGGGTGCAGGCTGCCTCTGTGCCCCACCCAGTGGGGAGCTGGTGCTTCAGCCCCGTAACTGCCCTGTGTGATGAGGCTGCAGCCTGGTGGCTCAGTTCATCTCTATTCCCCCAGGATGCCAGCGGGCGTGTGATGGAACTGGAGGTGACTTGCACCAAGTCAGACATGGCAGAGAAGCCCAAAGCCTTCATCCATTGGGTGTCGGAGCCGCTGGTGTGTGAAGTGCGGCTCTATGAGCGCCTGTGAGTACCCGGTGACACAGAGAGGTGCAGGCACAAGCTCTGTGGGGAAAACGCTGCTTTGGGGTGCCAGGAGCTGCTGCCCCACAGCTGCCATGGGGCACCATGTCCTCTCGCCCCACGGCTTTGTGATGACTCTGTCTTATGGCAGGTTTTTACACAAAAACCCCGAGGACCCATCAGAGGTGCCCGGTGGCTTCTTGAGTGACCTCAACCCTGTGAGTAGCAGCAGGAGCTGAGGTCCTCCTGCACCCACACCTGAGGCACCCCCTTCTCTGTGCCCCCAAATCCCTTCCTGCTGTGTCCCTGGGAGCAGAGGGGCTGTGGAGGAGGCAGAGGAGCCCATTGAGCTTCTTCCTCTTGCCAGGACTCCCTGCGTGTGGTCCCCAACGCCCTGGTTGACAGCTCCGTCCTCTCCGCCCGTCCCTTTGACAAGTTCCAGTTTGAACGCCTGGGTTACTTTTCCGTGGATCCCGATAGCAAGGAGGGGAAGGTGAGCACGAGGAAAGGGGCCATGGGTCTCCTCATCCACCGTGGGCTCAGAGCTGACCCTCTGCCTCTCCCCAGATGGTGTTCAACCGGACGGTGACACTGAAGGAGGACCCTGGCAAGGCTTGAGGGACCCGCCGCTGCTGCCTCACTGTGATGCTGTTTCCCGGGGGGGTCCCTGCGGACCCCCAGTGCCACCGTGCCTTGGTGCAACCCCCCCGGGGCGCCCCACAGCGTGGCCTCAATAAACCGAGCATCCCAGCCCTGCCCTGCGCTGTCATTGCAGTGGGGTGGTGGGGGTCTCCAAGGGGGGTCGGGGTCTGTCGGGAGCTGGGGAACCCCCGGGGGCTGCAGCTCGGCCCAGGCTGGGGTTGGGTGGGCTGGAGGCGGGTCCCGCGGTCCCAGGCAGTGCGCGGGCAGCAGGACGGTGCGCACGTTGTGTACAAACACCGGCCCAACGCCGGCCCCGCTTAAGGTGGATTCGCTGGGGGTGCCCCTGCCCGGTCCCGGGGTAGGGGTCACGGGGATACCCCCGCGGCACCGGTGTGTGCCCCCTGCTCTAACCCCGTAACCGGGACCCCGGTCCTGCCGCGGGTGTGGGGGGCTCAGCCAGACCCCACGGGCCACCTTAAGCGGCAGCGGGGTCCGCGCAGGCCGCGCCGAGCACATGGGCACGTTAAAGCAGCCCCGACTCGGCCTCATGATGCCGGGGGACCCTTCGCTCGTCGGTGCCGCCCGCGGGCAGGGGCAGAGCGCGGCCACCGCCGGCCGCGGAAGCCCAGCGCCCTCCCCGCGGAGCCGCTGCGCGGGGTCTCGCCCCCCTTTGGGGCGATGCTGGACCGCGCCTCGGCTGTTGCAGGGTGGGGGAGTGGCGGCCGATCTGGTCCTCCTCCCCGGCGGCTTCATGGGACCCTGGGGTGGGTGGCGTCCCACGCCCCCCCCCCCCGGTCACCGGGAGCTACCCGCTCCCTTGTCAGGGCCATCGCACCCTGCGCTTCCCACCGAACCGGCGCGCGGCCCCTTTAAGGTGCGGGGAGGGCAGGCTCGCAGAGCTGTCGCGGGAGTTGGTGGGTGTCCTCTCGCGAGGCTGGAGGTACGCGCTGATTGGCTGCGGGGGGTTGAATGTAAGATGGCGCCCAGGGAGCTGTGAGGGGAAAAGACTCGGGGCCGAGGTGGCGGCAGCGGCGCGGTGCGACGGCGGCAGCAGGGCCGGGGTGAGGCGGGGCCGGGTCGCGGTGCACCGCGGAGCCGCCGGGCCGGGGGGTGCGCTGCGCGGCGGCGGGGCCGGGCGGGGCCTCCCGTTGGGGAGGCGGCGGCGGCGGTGGTTCCGGGGGCGGCGCGGGCCCGGGGGGGGGGGGGGGGGTGTTGAGGCCCCGCCCGCGGGGACGCGCGCAGCGCTCCCCCTGCTAGTTCCCCCCCCCCCCCCCCATTCGCGTTGCACCGGGCGCGTCCCCGCTTCTTCCCCCCCCCTTCTCCCCGGTCCTCCGCGGGCGGCCGTTTCCGCGCGCGGGCACCGGAAGGCGCGGCCTCGGCGCGGCCCTCGGCGGCCGCCGTCCCCCGCGAAGCCCCCAACATGGCGGCGGGGAGTGTGTGGGGAAGGGGGGGGCGGCGGCGGCGCCTCCGCCTCCTCCTGCAGGCCCGGTGCTGGCCGCCCCGCCGGGGAACAAAGGCGGCGGGAGCGGCCCGGGCAGCGCTGGGGCAGAGGCTGAGCCGCGGCCGATGATCTCAGGGGCTAAATATGGAGCTTCGCCTCGGCTGGGCTGGGTGGCTCCTCGGGGCAGCGCCGGGCACACGAGCAGGGGGGGACCTCTGGATCCGGTCACTGCTGCTGCTGCCTTGTTCTAAGTTCTGTGTTGCAGTAAGTCCGGTGTCACCGGCTGCGCTGCGCCGGGCACCGCAGGGTGTGAGCGCTCTGCGCCCTGTCACAGCTGTGCTCGTCCCTGGGCATGCCGGTCAGGCCGAGGGACACAATGGTTACAAATTTGGCACCTCGCAGTTCTTCAGTAGGAGCCGCTGGCTGCGTGGATGATCATATCTGTCTGTCCTGGGGGTTCTTTTTTGTTTTTTCTCTTCATGGATTACATATTAAAAATAAAATGGCTTTAATAAAGAAAAGAGGAACTGGGGATGGAAAGAGCTTCTTTGTTCTGTCTTCTCCAGAACGTTACAAGTCTAAGAGCTCAGGACAAGAGCAGCAGAAATACATGCAACATGGTGACTGGTGAGTCCAGATTGTCCACATGCTGCAAGTTGTGTGTGTGTTTTCAGTAACCTCAGTCTTAAGTTTTATGAACTAACCGTATGTGCTCATGATCTTCAAAGAGTTTCTTGAACTTATTCCCTGGGAAAAAAATGCCATGGTCTTGAATTCCTTCCCTATAGCAGAGAAAGCTTATTGCCTGGATGCTCTTTGATTTTAGACTTCAGTATTAAAAACATGCTGCTGAGATCTAGTGATGGGTGTTTGCTGTTTCTAATGTGTGTCTACAGGATAAGTGGAATGCCTAAATCAGTATGTTTTAATAACTAACAGTAAAAGTGGTGGTTGCAGCAGCAAGCTGTGTATGTTGCTCTACAAAACCTTGCTGAGTGCGCACCTGAGCCTTAAAGGAGGCTTTCTGCCATAAATGTAGGTGGATTGGGTTTTAGTGAATAAAACTTCTGGGAGTACAGTGTTATTCTCCTGAATCTTCATCTAGACCTGGTACCTCTGCTGCTCCTGGGGCTTTGTGAAGTGCAGGTTTGGGTGGCTCAGTGCTTTTGGTTAAATAACGCCAAACAGCCTTCAGACTGAGAGGAACAACTTGGGGAGAAGCACACTCCAGCCTGTGATGTTACCTGCAGCATGTTTTGCTCCTTTCTGATTGCCAGAGCTGTAGACAAAAGGAAGATCCTGCTGCTGTTGCAGAGCAGGGACAGATGCCATGTGGGGCAGTGGGGTTCTGACCCCTGCATGGGTCTGTGAGTGCTGTTGTGGCTCAAGTGAGCATCTCACTGGTTTTAGTCACTGGTGGCTCTCAGTGTAGTAACTTCAAGTGTAAAGGACTTTCCATGGTAGAAGAGAGATACCTTCTGACAGCTTGTGACAGAGGAATATTTGCTGGTCAGGGAAGGCTAGCCTAGTAGGTTCTTGATTTTAATGCAAAATAGAAGTAATTAAGATGGAGAAGCTGAGCAGGGTCAGGGATTTGTAGCTAACTAGTGTTGGGTTTGTTGCACTTCCTGGTGGTTGGAAGAGGTAGGTGATGCTTTGGTGGTGGACCTCTTTACGTTTGGGCTTTCTGCTTGTGCATCTGCGTTTCTGGTGGCTTTTGGTCTCTGCTGCACAGAAGCATGATGTGCCTCTGAGCAGCTCTTGGCAGAAGGGCTCAAGTTCCAAAGTAAAAGTGAAGGTTAATAGGTAGTTGCTGCTGAAAGCAGTGGCCCTGCTGACCTCCCCACCCTCTCCCTAAAGAAGATGAACAGAAGGTGAAGACCTATTCCCCGAGTTGCTGCAACATAATAAGCACCAATGCAAGAGTCAAGGGAGAAGGCAAGACCTGTGCTGAGAGGGGAGGGCATCCTGTTCAGCAGCAGCTTGCTGTTGAAGAGCAGATCATCTCAAACCCTGTAGTGTTAACACCTGGGTTCCCAGTGTGGTGGTCTTGAGGCTTATTCCTCAGGAGAGTCTTCCCTCTGAAACCTGTGTCTGCTTGTGTAACTTAAGGTGGGGATGCAGAATGATTCTGCTCTTCTGAAAGCCTCACTGTAGTATTGAAGTCATAGAATAGAATAGTTAGGGTTGGAAAGGACCTTAAGATCATCTAGTTCCAGCCCCCGTGCCATGGGCAGGGACACCTCACACTAAACCATCTCACCCAGGACTTCGTCCAACCTGGCCTTGAATGCTGCCAGGGATAGAGCATTCGCAACCTCCCTGGGCAACCCATTCCAGTGCCTCACCACCCTAACAGGAAAGAATTTCTTCCTTATATCCAATCTAAACTTCCCCTGTTTAAGTTTTAAACTGTTACCCCTTGTCCTGTCACTACAGTCCCTAATGAAGAGTCCCTCCCCAGCATCCCTATAGGCCCCCTTCAGATACTGGAAAGCTGCTATGAGGTCTCCACGCAGCCTTCTCTTCTCCAGGCTGAACAGCCCCAACTTCCTCAGTCTGTCTTCATACAGGAGGTACTCCAGTCCCCTGATCATCCTCGTGGCCCTTCTCTGGACTTGTTCCAACAGTTCCATGTCCTTTTTATGTTAAGGACACCAGAACTGCACACAATACTCCAGGTGAGGTCTCACAAGAGCAGAGTAGAGGGGCAGGGTCACCTCCTTCGACCTGCTGGTCACGCTCCTTTTGATGCAGCCCAAGATACGATTGCTTTCTTGGCTGCGAGCGCACACTGCCTGCCCATGTTCATTTTCTCATTGACCAACACCCCCAAGTCCTTCTCTGCAGGGCTGCTCTGAATCTCTTCTCTGCCCAACCTGTAGCTGTGCCTGGGATTGATCCGACCCAGGTGTAGGACCTTGCACTTGCCATGGTTAAACTTCATGAGGTTGGCATCAGCCCACCTCACAAGCGTGTCAAGGTCCCTCTGGATGGCATTCCTTCCCTCCAGCGTACCAACCGAACCACACAGCTTGGTGTCATTGGCAAACTTGCTGAGGGCACACTCAATCCCACTGTCCATGTCAGCGATGAAGATGTTGAACAAGACCGGTCCCAGCACCGATCCCTGAGGGACACCACTCGTTACTGCTCTCCAGCCGGACATTGAGCCATTGACCACAACTCTTTGTGTGCGGCCATCCAGCCAGTTCTTTATCCACCGAGTGGTCCATCCATCAAATTGATGTCGCTCCAATTTAGAGACAAGGATGTCGTGTGGGACAGTGTCGAACGCTTTGCACAAGTCCAGGGAGATGACATCAACTGCTCTACCCCTGTCCATCAGTTCTGTAGCCCCATCACAGAAGGCCACCAAATTGGTCAGGCAGGATTTCCCCTTAGTGAAGCCATGCTGGCTGTCACCAAGCACCTTGTTGATTTTCATGTGCCTTAGCATGCGTTCCAGGAGAATCTGCTCCAAGATTTTGCCAGGCACAGAGGTGAGACTGACTGGTCTGTAATTCCCTGGGTCATCCATCTTCCCCTTCTTAAAAATGGGGGTTATATTTCCTTTTTTCCAGTCACTGGGAACTTCACCTGACTGCCATGATTTTTCAAATATGGTGGCCAGTGGCTTCGGAACTTTATTTGCCAGCTCCTTCAGGATCCGTGGATGGATCTCACCAGCATGTTCATTTTTTTTAAGATGGTCTTGAACCAGTTCCTCTCCTACAGTGGGCGCAAGGTCTTCATTCTCACAGTCCCTGCACCTGCCTTCCAAGACTTGGGTGGTGCAGTCAGAGCCTTTGCCAGTGAAGACCGAGGCAAAGAAGTCATTCAGAACCTCAGCCTTCTCCAAATTCTGTGTAGTTAGTTCTCCTAATAGCTTCCAGAGGAGGCCGACGTTGTCCCTAGTCTTTTATTCACTACATACCTATAGAATCCCTTCCTGTTATCCTTAACATCCCTAGCCAAGTTTAATTCTAACTGGGCCTTAGTTTTCCTAACCTGGTCCCTAGCTTCCCGGACAACATCCCTGTACTCTTCCCAGGTCGCCTGTCCTTGCCTCTTTTTTCAATTGAATTTTCCTCAGGAGCTCCTTATTCATCCAAGGAGGTCTCCTGGCCCTCCTGCTGCACTTCCTTCTGGTTGGGATGCAACACTCCTGAGCTTATAGCAGGTGATCCTTGAATATCAGCCAAGAGTCTTGGGCCCCCCTGCCCTCTAGGGCTATATGCCATGGAACCTTCCTAAGCAGGTTCCTGAAGAGGCCAAAGTCTGCTCTTTTGAAGTCCAGGGCAGTGAGCTTGCTGCCCGCTCTTCTCACTGTCCTGAGGATCTCGAATTCAAGCATCTCGTGATCGCTGCATCCAAGGCTGCCCTGGAGAGTCACATTTCCAACGAGCCCTTCCCTGTTGGTGAGCACAAGGTCAAGCATGGCACCTCTCCTTGTCGGCTCCTCTATTACTTGCAGAAGGAAGTTGTCTTCTACACAATCGAGGAACCTCCTGGATTGCTTGTGCCGGGCCGTACCGTCCTTCCAACAGATGTCAGGGTGGTTGAAGTCACCCATGAGAACAAGGGCCTGTGAGGGTGAGGCTTTTCCTATCTGTCTATGGAGTGCTTCATCCACAGGTTCTCCTTGATCAGGCGGTCTGTAACAGATCCCCACAGTAATGTGTCCCATAGCTGTTTTCCCTTTAACCCTGACCCACAAACTCTCTGTGGACTGCTCACCTGTCCCCAGACAGAGTTCCATGCTCTCCAGCCTATCCCTAACATAAAGGGCAACTCCCCCTCCCCGCCTGCCAGGCCTGTCTTTTCTAAAGAGCCTATAACCTTCCATTCCAACACTCCAGTCATAGGAGCCATCCCACCATGTTTCTGCGATGCCTATTATATCATGCCCCTGTAGACGTGCACACATCTCTAATTCCTCTTTTTGTTCCCTATGCTACGGGCATTTGTACAGAGGCATCCGAGCCGAGCTCCAAATGAAGCCGGCTCTTTGGCTGGAGCGGCTGGAATATATCTACATTGCTCTGAGCATTTATTATAGGTGCTGGCAACTGACTGGGTGAAATGTTTGCATTTGTAAAGTCAAATGTTTGCAAGCTCCAAGTAGAAAATGGGGACAAGTTAATAGCTTAAAATCTCTTCCCACTTCATAATATGTAGCAGAGCATCTTAGATGCAGATGCATTTGAGTACAGCTGGTGTAGGTCCTGAGTCACTGGGGATGCATTAACAAGGCTGTTTTCTACTGGTTTCTCCCTGCACATGCAGTCTCTTTGGGGGAAGGTTAATAATGTGTCCTGTGGAGGTGTGGGGTACTCTTTGGTGGCTCTTGGAGGAGCAACTTAAGTCAGTAGTCTCGCTGACTCTGTTGCAACTAAGTGAATAGTCTTACTGGCTCTATCGTATGGAACTGCCTTGAATATGTGAAATACCAGACTATCTGCAAGGCAGGAGAACTCTTTTTCTGTCTAGCTGTGGGCTCTATTGTTGAATGTTGAAGAGCTGTTGGATTTACAAGGTGGACACTGTGAACTGGTGCTTTCTGCTATAAATGTTGATGCATGTTATAAGAGTATTTTCTGTAGTAATGTCATACGGCAACAGTTGTTGCTTAATAACTCCACAGACTACAAATAGAGCACGAATTGCCTCATGTGTGTCCCCCTTACCTTTGATATTCATTCTTTCTCCTCTGAGCCTGGTCCAGTGCAGTAGCCATGAACCTTTCCATGTAAACAAAGCCTGTGTGTGCTGAGACTGCTGTCACATAAGGGTGAAGAGTGGTCAGGATTTGCTCTGGCTCCCACTGATCCTGGTGGGAATTGGGGCTGGACTTGTGGAATAAGCTTGGGTGCCACGGGGGCCTGGACCTAATGTTTTCACGCTGGCTGTTACAGTCTTATGTTCAACCATGTGTATCTGTCTTGGTTCCACTTGGTTAAATCATGGTAAAATGATACAAAAGGTTCTGGGTTTGTCCCTATTCTCTTTAGAACTTACAGGCATAATGTACATATATGATGTTTGTCCCTTTTCCTCCTTTTTACAGCTTGATCTAGTAGTACTGAATCACCTCTTCTAGTCCTAACCTTGTGTTGTTTCACATCTTTTCACAACTATCTCAGTATCTGGTAGTGTTACAGCTCAAATCTCTTCATCTTTTATCAAGATTAATTAGTGCCTTAAAAACAACCAGTGTTTTACTCACTGCAGATTCCATTTGTGGCTTTAAACAAGATAAGTCAATGCTGTCAGAGCATACCCCAGAGCTTTCTGATGTGCTCAGGTGGAGTTAGCTTTGTTGTAGTGTTTTTTTTCTTGCTTTTTCTTACTGATCACCTGATTTCTTTTGCTTTCTCTCTTTTGTTGTCAAACACGGCATGTTTCATGTTAACTTCTCCCTATATTAAAGGACATCAAAACCTGCTGCTGCTGTTGCCTTTGTCACTTCCAGAGCTCTGTTTCTTCCATGTGTGTAGCTCCCCATTTGAGGAATCTCTTGATTCAAGCACTCTCTTTTTGCTTGCTATGTTCAGATCAGTAAGCTGCCCTAGTCCTAATAGCAGTGGGCTGATGCTGCATCTGTTGCTCTTCCGTTGTGCTTCCCATTAGCTGCCTAGAATAGCACTGCATGGCCTGATAGAACGTACTGCTTGGCTCTCCGACCTCTGTGTCCGCAGAGCAGGTCCACAGCTGTTGATTTCTGAGCTTCTCTCACTAATACTGCATGTTGCAAACAGACAAGATGTGAGACTTGAGTTCATCTATTGTGGGACTCGCCTGGTTTGGGGGAAGTACAGCACTAGAAGATGTTACATGGCAGTGAGCTCTTTGAGTAATAACAGTTACACCTGGTTATGGTTCAGACATCCCTGAGCTGCTCAGGGTTAATCTGAGCAATGTGTAGTAACACAAGATGCCTTGTAAAACTAAAGCATCTGTCTCAGGCATCTGGCTCTGCATGTTTGCCAATTTTCATACGGTTACTGGAGTCAGGAGTATCCTTGTATCAAAGGAGAGCTGCAGTTCAGACTTTCACTTTCTCTTTCCTTAAGGAACCCTGAGGACCTTGCAATATGAATAATTCTCTGGAGAACACCATTTCTTTTGAAGAATATATCCGTGTGAAGGCACGAACAATCCCCCAGCACAGGATGAAGGAGTTCCTGGACTCCCTTGCTTCCAAGGGCCCGGAAGCTCTGCAGGAGTTCCAGCAGACAGCCACCACCACCATGGTGTATCAGCAGGGTGGCAACTGCATTTACACGGACAGCACAGAGGTGGCTGGGTCTTTGCTTGAACTTGCTTGTCCTGTGACAACCAGTGTCCAGCAGCAAACTCAGCCAGAGCAGCAGATACAGGTTCAGCAACCCCAGCAAGTCCAGGTAAGCATCTTAAATCATATCTAAATGTATGTATGACTTGCTAAGCCCTGGAGCAGTGTTCGGGGTCAGCTACTGTCTAACCTGAAACCACAGGCAAGCACTTGCAAAGCAAGGCCCATTAACTTTATATAGAACAGCACTATTTCCCTTTCATTTAAGGAATTTGATAGTAAATGTCTCTCTTGCCTGTGCCTCCATTGAGTCCTGCTGCAGGAGGAGCAGCACACATAGCAACGTGGTGGCGTAACCTGATGGAAACATGGTTGACAGTTCTGGCATGTACACAGCTCCTCAGTGCCCCATACTCTCTGTGAAGCTGCTATAAATACCACCCCCCTCTGCTGGTCTTACTCTGTCTGGTTGTTCGGGGTGGCTGTGGGCTCTCAATCCTTTCTTTAATGAAATCAGGTTTTGCTTGAACATTCTAAAAGTTGTAGTTCCTGAATTGTCTTTTAAGTGAGGGGAGATGCGGGGGAGCAAAGCGATGGTATGACCCAGGGGAAGATGCCTTTCAGGAAAGGAACTCTTAAAAAGATGCATGTCTGTCAAGATACATGATCCCTTTGCACTATGGAAGGAGGCTTTTCCATTATTTGTTTTATTATGTATTGCAGTAATTTTTATTAAGTATTAAATGAGCAAATACAGCACCAGAGAGGGGAAAAAACCCAACCCCGAACATACAACTTTGGTCTTCAAACAGAGTTTGTAACTCAAAGAGTTCATAGGTGGCAGGGCATTTACTAAGGGTTTCTTATTGATATGTCTCCAAACAGTTGAAATCTGACAGCTTTAATTCTGGTACACTTCAGATAGAAATCTTTCTGCTTTTTGTAGCATGAATGTAAAGTTGTGAGCTCTCCTCTTTTGCAACAAATGAGGGTATGGAAGCACAAATGAGTAGAGATAAGGTAGTGTGAACTTGCTGCAGTACAGCAGACCTGCACTAGCAGTTGGCTTGTATGCTTTTATCCTACAGCAAAGACAAACTTATGTCTTTCACTGGGCAGCTCATCTCCAATTACTCTCTCTATTGAGTAAATGAATGCTTAACAGGGACTTCTGTAACCTGTTGCCCCACAGTAACGTGTGTTGCAAGGATTTTGAAGGATAAAAGCCTCTACAGTCTCACAGACAGAGCTTGGATCTCTGCGTGGCTCTATTCAAACTGATCGGAGTGGGTTTGGTTCTGCCAGATAGCACATTTTGGGGAAGAGGCTTCATTTTGTAGTAGAAGGACTAAAAGGGTTGGCTTCTGGGTGCCTCAGCCTTGAAGATGTGGAGGGTCCCCAGACCAATTGTAAAAGTCGGAAGGTATCTGGTGTCCCCTCCCCTGCTGCTGCTTCCTTTCAAAACTACTCGAAGTTCAGGCTTGACCCTCGCAAGTCTTCTCAGAGATAGGGAGATCAGGTATCATATGCTCCAGAGAAAAGCAGTCTCCTGACCTTCTTGAAAAGAACTGTGGAGTTGCTGCCAGGGACCTGTTCTTAGTTTGAAACCAAGTGTCATTACCCTGCATGCGAAACACACCTGGTGAAAGTCAAGATTTCAGCAGCATTCCTAAAGAACAGTGTCTGTTCTCCCCACCTTGTTTCTGATGTGACTCTGCTTTAAATTACCCATGTTCTCATCTGCTAACACATTTCGGAGTTAGTGTTTGTGTTGCCTTCCCTGTTGCTCGCTTGAGGATGTTGCAGCCTCCCTGAACAGAGGTGACACAACTGGTACTAGATACTGCCACAGCTGAATTCACATGATTTTGAGCAGCTAGCTCAGAAATGAAGGTTTTTGGTAAGGATGGAGTGGAAAGAAATGTCTTTACCCCTTTGCAAGGGTGTTTTCTGTCTTACTGAGATGTGATTTATGTTAAAGTCGTGAGTTAGTGCTTACCTGTTTCAGGAGTGTTGCTGTGGCAGCAGTAGCAGAGCTTTGTGTCTGAACAGGGTTGAGTCTTGTGGTGACTCTGGGGGTAACAGTGCCCCCTACTAGAGCTGGGCACCAGATCCAGCTGAAATACTTGTGTTTTATTGTGAGCAATTTTGGTCACCCACTGAAGCCAGACTTATGTCATTCCTGGTACTTGACTTGATAATCTCTTTATTTCTTGCTAATCCAATTGGAAATGAGTGGAAGACCCTTTGAATGGCTGTTTATATCTGGCAATGTGACAGTGGGGCTGAGGGTGACTAATAATATGACCAGGCAGGTGACCTTAACGGGTAAAGTGCTGATGACAACTGTACCATCATAAAGATAGACAGTGCTCAAGTTTCATCCTAGATGTTACTTGCTGTGAACAACCAAAGACACTGTATGACTGTTGACTGCTTTTATTTATCCTGGCAAAATACATTTCCTGTTGGAAGAAGTTGCTACCTTAGGGTTTTCCTGCTTAAAAGGTTCAACAGGCTGTTGCCAAATGTTTATTTTAAAGGCTGAGTGGATGCAACTCTTGAGTTATAGACACCATGCTGCAGTGCAAGTGTCTTGGAATTCCTTCTGTGCCCAGTATTGCAGTGGTGCTGTTTTAAGGAGTTCAGTATGTCAAGCTGTCATTCCTTGTGCTGCATCAGGGGGTGGCTGGCAAGGGCTGTATTTTGCTCCAGTCAAGTAAGAGTTTTGTCAGCTCTGCCTTTGGTGAGAATGTTGTTGCTTGGGCTTGTGCGTTGAGGCCTTGGAATTGACGGTGTCAGTGAGGTGTTAGCACTGACTTGCTTACTGAATACAGTTTTCCTGCAGAGGTCAGTGAACCTCTTGTGCCTCTTCCTCTTCTGCAAGAAAACAATTGAAAGAATAACAGAGGAAATTGAAAAAATATCAGAGGACAAAGTATCTTTGCTTAGGACACATACAGTGTGTGTGGGAAGATCCTCAGTTTCAGCTATTTATTAATGCAAGAGTCTGGTGGTAGGTGGCAAGAGCTTCTCAAACAGGGCTTGAGGGGAAGGTACTATAGGTGAACAAGATCACAGAACTATATAGGGGATGGTTAAATGCTGGTGTAAAATGCCTTGCAGTTAATGCTTAGACCTTTAATTGCTTAATTCCTTGTGTGTTTACTGTTCAGATGCTTCAGTCCTCCCCCAGCCTATTCTGTGACTGCAGACTGTTGTTAATGACATAAAGCAGGGAAAGATGCACTGAAGTAGCTCAGGAGAAAATCTTATCTCTGGCTCTGAACAGAATACATATTCCCTTTGCTTCTGATGGGTGCACTTCCTCTACCTCAGCGCTGGTTTTGAAGTTTAGCCTGGAAATACAGCTCCTATTTGCTTACCTTTGCAAAGCATCCTGATATGGTAGAGTAGCACATAGTATTAATCAGCATTTGCTAGGGCTGAGCATGACACTTCAAAGAGTGGTTGTAGTCAAGAGTGGTGTTTTCAAGGTAGCACCTTCTTGTCTATGGAAGCGGGTTCCTTATTGAGAAGCAAGCTGGTTTGTTTTCCCTGTCTCATGTGGTTTAACTGCCTTAAACCTAAATCCTACCCCAGTGTAAAGCTTGACAACATAATCTTGATATTGTAACTGTTCAAACACATGCAAGGCCTAATTTGGCCTGTGGAATTTTCTCTTTGATGATCATGAATGAGCAGAGGAAAAACCTGGAGTGAGAATCTGTTTGGCAGTTGTTCTGAAAAGCTGACTTGTACACTCCCCATAGGCCTTGTTTACTTAGATAGCAAAGGACTTCCTGTAAAGTAGTTGAATAACAAGTTCCAACATTTCCTGCTACTTCAGCGATCAGTCTTTTCACCTCTTCTATACTCAGATCTGGTTTGTACTTGTGCATGTGCTTTCTGGCATAACATTAGGAGGAACTCTTTATTGCAGTGGTAGTTTTTAATGCTGGAGTCGCTTTAGCTTAGGACTGTTGTTGAGGGAAGTGTATGTTAAGCCTTCTTTCTTTAAATTTGCCTAAAAATAATGAGGAGATAGCTCTTTTCCAGCTCTCCCTTTTTTGTCCAAGTGTTTGGTTGCTGTCACCTTGCTCAGGTGTGGAAGTTTGAGGTTACCTTTTGGGGGACATTGGATTTGCCACCTGCCCCCCCTTACATCTTGTAGGTTTGGAGCCTGTTTGGGATTCCCTTGAGATGACACTAACCCATAAGATGCAGTCTTGTGTCTGGGTATTTGCCTGGCTTGGCTAGTAGGCAAGAGTAGACCTAAGTTTGAAATAGTTGTCTGGAATGTGTAGTGTGGACACCTCAGCAGGTCAGTCCTGCTCTGAAGGTCTGCTCTTGGTCTATCCTGCTACTTCTAGTGTGCGTGTAGCTTCAGAACCCAAGATGTGTTTGTGAGAAGAGACATCTAAGAGCCTGTCAGGTGCCCTGGGGCAAGGTAGATCTTGGACAATCCATGCCTCTAAGAGCTGGTGTGTGTGTGTGCTCATTTGGAGTTAGGGTTTGAGAAATGGTAGGTAATCCAGTCAGTCCACAGCTGAGATTTCCTTTGCTTGGGAATTCATTCACCTTGTTTCAGAAGTGCAGTTCTTCAGCCTCATTTCTTCTTGGGCAGAGAATCCACACAGGGCAGACATGCTCTGAATCCTACTTGAGAGTTTGTCGGGCACTTTGTCAACCATGAGGAAACAAAGCTTTTGGAAGACAGGCTTTGGCTGTTCTCATGCTCACGGAGTACCTTTCTTTTTGCATGTGCTCAGTTCTAGCCACAGTATGGTTTGGAGCTTAATGTGACAGAAAATTTCTGTTAAAGGAATCCTAAAAGTTCTGCCCTCCCTGTTACGGTGTAGATCTGGTTTCCAATGCTTCTGATTCTCCAGTCAGCTAGTACTTGGTTCAACTTGTAGCTGTTTTATGGTAAAAGCCATTTATTTCTCTGTGTGAAGTTGCCTTGCTGGGAAGTGGTTCTTCTTGTGCTGTTAGATCCAAACTTCTGGCAGTAAGCAGTTTTTCAGTACTGGTAACTTGGCAAGTTCCTTTCTTTCACCATTATAACGCAGGAATTTCCAGCATAATATGTTCTCACTTTAATCTTCAGCATAAGATGAAGATTTAAAGTTCTCCCTGCTGGTCTTTGCCTGTAAATTTAAAGCATTCTTCTTTGTACAGAGTCTGTTGTTTAGTGTGATTCTTTGTCCTTTTTTTCCTCAGATAGCAAGTTAAGCAATGAGGTCAGTGGAAGAAGCTCTGGGTTGAACTTTGTAAATCAGAAATAAATGATTGCAGCACTCATGGGTACAACCTACTTGAAAATAGGGAGGGATCTACTGCAAGATGTGGTTGCTAAAAATGGATATGTAATTCACATGGGATGGGTAATGTGAGGTAGGTAGAGCTCTAGTGTCCTTTTAAATAGGAGCAGTTTCTAGTCAGAAGCATGACACCTGAAATGCACAGCAAAGAGAGCTTCCAGGCTTGCTGGAGTCTGACTTCTTTCCGTTTTTTGAGTCTGGACTCATTCTTTGGCTGTTAACAATAGCACTTCTAAGGAATTCTCAGTCAACCTGTGCGGATTCTGAAAAAACACTGCAGAAGTACAGGCTAAATGACATGTGTGCCTCTTTCTGTGACATGATTTTGAATCCTGGCAGATAAAGCAAACATTTTTTGGGTGAAACTGAAAATACATCAGTGCAATAATGAATTTAGTTTGGCCAGTGTTAGGCCTTCGTCTTGCAGGTCATTCTTTGAACAAGAACTTTAAAAATCACTAATACAGTATTTATATATTAATTTAAGTCAGATATTTTGGAGAATACTTGCCTTTGCGGTGTAATTGGAACTGCCTTCCCCTGGACTCTTCACTGGGGCCTGTACTTGGGCCTGTTTGCCCAAGGCAGTGCTCATGCTGGGGGGCAGTATGATAAGAGTATCGAATAGAACTGAAGCAGCATCCTGTAGGTGAGTCCATCTTTTTCTGTTAACTGCCTGATCAAATCACTCACTGATGCAGCTTTTAAAGCTGTCATGCTGACTCAAGCTCATATGTTTCTTGTTACCTTGCAGGGAATTATTATAGCAAATCCACGTCATCTGGATTGCAGTATGCTGCATATAGCTTCCAGCAAGAACCTGTAAAATTCCCTGTTCTTCCTGGAAATAAAATTAGTTCTTAACAGGAGGTGACTTACAAAAACTGGTCTGCAAGTGGTGCATTTTGCTACACTACTTTTTTTCCTCTTAATGGGCTGCAAATGAATCCTTAATGTACCTTAAGGTGATGTTGGGAGGTGAGATTTCATGTGTCTGTGCAGTGCAGACCTGTGTGGTGATTGTTCCTGGCATTGTCAGGTTGGCTGCTGTGGTGTCTGTGCAAATGCTGTGTTAGCTTTCCTCACTCCATAAAGTGAGGTAGAAAAGGGTGAGAGAACATGAGTAGGAAGGCATAGTTTTGGAACTAGATAGATCTGTTTTGGCTTCAAACTTCATATGGCTCTCATAGGTGCCACTAATAAAGCGCTACATCTCCCTGTTGGGTTTGAAAGGAGAGGTTGAGTAATTAATTTCCCCCCTTAAGACAGAGTGTTAAGGAAGCCTGGAGAAGTAGAGGATCATGGGAACCTGGGATCTTGCTTCTAGGACAGGGGAAATGCAACAAAGGGGCTCTGTAAATGAGGGAAACAGAGTGGGGAAGTGTCTGGATGAGGAGAGCAGAACTGACTCGGTGCCCTGGCAGTGGAGATGCCACTTGGGCTGGGTTCAAGGCCTGGGATGTGAAGTTATGGGCTCACTCTGACTCCTAGCTTTCAGTCTGCTCCTGGGCTCTTGCTAGATAGTGTGACAGGCCATGGGGAAATGAGCATTGATGCAAGAGGGTGTGATTTATTTTTTAGTTTTCCCCTAGAATAAAAAGAACTGTGTTTGGCTACAAGTCTTAAAATAATTTATCTGTGTTATTCAGCATTGTGTAAGTGCATGAGCTAGAAAATACAACTGAGTAATTTCAACAATAAATGGAATAAGTAAATAATGAAAATCAAATTGGTTTTAATTATCACTGCCAAGGAAATACTTGTGACATTTAAAACCTAAATGCTGTAGTGTTGCTCCTCAGTGTATGACAGACTCAGGTTGAGCTTGCAACTTCCTGTGTTGACACCTGCTTGGGTGGTATTACTGTTGGAGAGTGCTTCCAAAATGGTATTTCTGTCCTTTATCTGGAAAGGGCCAAGTGCTGGTTTCAACTTACCCATATTTCTTACTGCCTGTCACTGGCAAGTGCTTCAACTGGGGCTGAAGGCAGTAAAACCATCTTTAGAGCACGGTGAACATGAGGCAAGCTCTTGCATTTTGTAGCAAGATAAACTTGTAATGTGCATGACCTTAACGTCTTGCTATTGCAGAGCCTGTGCTGAAATAACATTTTAGCAATGCAAATGGTGCTGAAGACTCTTTTGGCTCCCAAGGATGCAATCTGTTGGCTTGAGCCCACAGAGCTGTGAGAATGGAGATGCAGCTCACGCGCTCTTCTGTCTGTGATGAGAAGGGTGATCATGTGCAGCGCTGAGCAAATGCATCATCTACCATGTCTCTGTTAGCAACTAGGCACTTCCAGAGCAACTTGGTTCTATTTTCCTGAAGTCTTTACTGATGTATTAATGTATGGAATCATAAAACTGAGCATAAAAGACCTGGAGCATAGACCTCCAGTGGTAGATCATCTTTGTTGGTGCCCCTGCTATTGAATTACTGATGTCTAACTGCTGAATTGGTGGTGTTGCAGGTTCAGGTCCAGGTCCAGCAGTCACCACAGCAGGTCTCAGCTCAGCAGCTCTCTCCCCAGCTAACTGTCCATCAGGCTTCAGAGCAGCCAATACAGGTGCAAGTGCAGATCCAAGGCCAGGCGCAGCAGCAGGCATCCCAGACAATACAGAATCAGTCTCTTCAGAGCCCCAGCCCATCTCAGCTGCAAGCAGCTCAAATCCAAGTGCAGCATGTGCAGACTGCCCAGCAGATCCAGGCTGCGGAGATACAGGAGGAACACATACAACACCAGCAGATCCAGGCCCAGCTCGTGGCAGGACAGGCCATTACTGGTGGTCAGCAGATACAGATCCAGACAGTTGGGGCACTGTCACCTCCACCTTCCCAGCAGGGCTCTCCACGAGAGGGAGAGCGGAGGATCAGCACTGCCAGTGTCCTTCAGCCCGTGAAGAAGCGTAAGGTGGATATGCCTATCACTGTATCATATGCTATTTCAGGGCAGCCAGTTGCCACAGTGCTGGCCATTCCTCAGGGCCAGCAGCAAAGCTATGTCTCTTTAAGGCCAGACTTGTTAACAGTGGACAGTGCCCACCTGTACAGTGCCACTGGGACCATTACTAGCCCCACTGGAGAGACTTGGACCATCCCTGTTTACTCAGCTCAGCCACGTGGTGACCTTCAGCAGCAAAACATAACCCACATTGCCATCCCTCAGGAGGCCTACAACGCCGTCCATGTCAGCGGCTCTCCAACGACACTGGCTACTGTGAAGCTGGAAGATGACAAGGACAAGATGGTGGGAAGTACTTCAGTAGTGAAGAACTCTCATGAGGAGGTGGTGCAGACTCTTGCTAATTCGCTCTTTCCAGCGCAGTTTATGAATGGCAACATCCACATTCCAGTGGCAGTGCAGGCTGTGGCAGGGACATACCAGAACACAGCGCAGACAGTGCACATATGGGACCCGCAGCAGCAACAGCAGCAGCCCACGCCCCAGGAGCAGGGGCAGCAGCAGCAACAGCTACAAGTCACTTGCTCGGTAAGTTAAACTTGCTTCTCACTCTGTCTGCGATTAACAACTTCCAAATGTTGGAGAGAGGGAGGGTGGCAGCAGACGGCTGATAGGGAAACAGGAATGTGTCTGTCCCAGTATCCTCTTGTAGGGCATTTGACTCCTCATAGGTGTCAGACTGATGTGTTGATACATAATTACAGGATTCGAAACTTCCTCAAAGTACAGCCTTGCTCTCTGTGGTGTGAAGTAATAGATACATGCTCAATGCTGGCTGCTTCATAGCAGGTATTCCAAGGTCCTGAGCTGTCCAGGGGGTTGCAGTGGCCAGGCAATGATGGTTGCAGTGCAGCAAGGTGTGCAAATACATTACTCACCTTCTTATCAGTTACTTCGTGTTACACAGCACGTGGGTTCACAGCAGATCCTCTGCCAGGGTGAAGTGTGGAAATCTCCCTAGTTATGAGACAACTTCATGGATCAGGTGTGTCTGTAACACCATATCCTGCTTCTGGGAAATGCCTGGTGTGCAAGAGAGCAGTAAGGAGCAGTGGCAGGCAAGCATCTCCTCATGGTGCTTGGCAAATGTGGACAGATTTGTTGCTTTTCTTTTAAAGGCTTTGTTGCTAACTTTAAGCTATAGATTATTTTGAATTGGCTTTTAAAACTTGAATAACTGGGGCTGTGGACTTTTGTATGTGCAAATGGATGTCATTGATCGTTTATTCCCAGAAAGTGAAAAGTGATTGACCTATCAGAGCCTGTTTTTGCTGAATAGGATGAGGGCAAAAATACCCAAGCTTGCTAGAATAAATGTTGTTATAAATTCCATCTGGTTTATAAATAACACTGTTGGCTTTATAAAGTGTGTATGCCCTCTGCTTCACTAGTAAGCACTGAGACAAGGAGGATTGCCTTCTGTAGTTGTGTCTGGTTGTTTCCAAGTTGGTTGTGGGCTATAGCCCACCAGGATCTGCACTGAAAACAGTTCCCTACATATCTAGATAACTTTAAGGTCCTGGATGCCCTTTTTATAAAGCTGTACTTTAAGCTGCAGCTTATGGTTCTTGTAATACATGGGGGCTTGTTTGGTTGAGGTTTTCTTGTTTTGTCATGTTCAGATAATCTTCCCTAGCTCATCTTTTCCCTGTATTGGTACTTCAGAGGTCACTTCATCTCCTTCAGCTGCTTGAACAAACTAAGTTGATAAAGCTTTTTGCCTTTCTGCTAAACAGGACTTTTAGGCTTATTTTAGGGTCTTTTAAGAGTATAAGCCATGTTCTTGGGAGGTATAAGCCATGTTCCTGAGGTATTAGCCCCATAATTTCTTTAATGGCTAATTGGAAATAATCTTCTAACACTGTATTGTGTATTAAGTTGCAGTTATTTTGCTCGACTTGTGAGAAACGTTAAGTCTGTTAAGAAGCAACTGCCAGCCCAGTCAATTAAGTGCAGGCTGTGTGACTCCCTCACTCTGCACAGGGTGTCTGTGGGTCAGGGCAGAAGATCACCCCATAGGTTGGACTGGTGGAGGTGGCTGGCTCTGGGAAGCCTCCTGCCCTATGGAGATCAATGGGGCAGAGCTCTGGAGGACATGGAGTCTCTGTCCTAGCTCCTGCAGAGCCAGAGTGTCAGTTCACCCTTGGACTCCTGTCCCCTCCAAGGCAGAGGCTTGCTTGATGAGTTCAACTTTGTCAGAATCCGCCTTGATAAAAGCTGGGCTCTTCCAGTCACAGCCTCCCTCTGCTGCTGGTGCTGCAGGGGTGAGAAGCAAAGAGCTGTCAAGAGCTAATGGAAAAGAAGAATTGACCAGAGGCAGTCAGAATGCTCCAGTCTGAGCTGGAGCTTTGTCTCTGTGGCTGGGTTTTATTATACTAAATAAGGTACAGGCATTACTACAGTCTTTAGGCCATTTTCATTATGGTCTCTGGTGCTGTCAGAGCAACTCTCACTGATGATTGACACTTGGCAGTATCAAAGGAAAAGTTACTTCATTATAACAAAGCTTTTTGGGGTGGCTCTTAAGAAGGACAAATCAAAACTGTTCTGATGTGAGGACTGCCATCTCTAACATTCTTCGGGTGCCACTGAGAATTTGACTTAAGGGCTGTAAAGCTTCAGGTTAACGTTTGTAACTGAGGTTATCTGTGAGTCTTACTGTGGCATGGGCTGGAGAAGTTGCAGTAGAGAATACAGGGTGAGTGAAGCTGGAGGGCTCACTGCTCCTTCTGGATAGCTGCCATTATCATCTGTGTGGCTTTATGGCTGTAAAATCAGTTTCAGTTTGAGGTAGTAATTCCTGGTGACTTAAGGTCCTGCTGTGAAGTAAACTTCCAAAGGGCCTGGAGACTATAGTAAGTCATAAAGTAGCTCTTCACAGAATAGTAGTGAGCTCTTATTAGCAGTACTGGGGAGGTAGAAAGCATTTGCAGTGCTGCTGAAGGGCTGTTTTGATGCTGTTCTAGTTCTAAGAGATATAAAGTAACCTTTTAAGTTCTTGATAAGAACAAAGTGTCTGTTATGTACTGGGTAATGAAGAGAGCCTGCCCTCAATGGGCAGGGGTGGGAGGGATGCTACTGCCAGTGTACAATGTGCCATTGTACCCAGAACCTTGCTCAGGGCAATCCAGACTTAGAGCAGCAGTGGCTGGTAGAGATGATGGCATCTCACTGTTCTTCCTTGCCAGGGGGCTGGTGATCTCTGTAGGTGCTCTGTCTGTGAGGGGCCTGGGGCTCCTCTTGGTTGAGTGAGATTATGGACTTTAGTGGTGGGTCAGTGACAAGTTAGCTGAAGCCAAGAAAAATGCATTTGAATAAACTGAGCTTCAGAATCAATAGTGATGTGATTCAGTGTTTGAGGGGAGACCACAAGTCTGTTGTTGAGAGGACTTTAGCTCTAGAAAAATCTTTACCTTTGAATGTCCTGGCTTCCTACTTAGAGGTATTGTGGCTGTTGGGTCTCCTGTGATGTTCTGCAGGACTCTGAATGCATCAAGCTGCAAGTGGTGTGGATTTGCTAAATCCCCTCAAACCTAAAAGAGTTCTTGGAGAGATAAATACTCTTTTGTGAGCAGCAGTTCAGGTTGAACAGCAAAAGTTGTGCTCCTTGGATTAGAGGAGTGTTGCAAAAGGCTGATATCCCAGGGCTAGAGGTATTGCAGTGTTACTTGGGGTAACTTGTGGAACTTCTGCATATCGAAGTGTGTCTCAGACTGAACTGTTGTCTTTCACAGGCTCAAACTGTTCAAGTTGCTGAAGTTGAACCACAACCTCAGCCACAGACTTCACCTGAACTTCTACTTCCAAACTCTCTGAAGCCAGAAGAAGGGCTTGAAGTGTGGAAAAGCTGGGCACAGACCAAGAATGCAGAGCTGGAAAAAGAAGCGCAAAATAGGCTAGCACCTATTGGAAGTATGTGTCATGACAACACTGCCTGTCTTCCCTTTCAAGTTGGGATTAGGAGTGACTAAAACATTGGCTGTTTACTGCCCTAGAGCACACCTTTGTTTTTAAATGCAAACTTTGATTTACTCTGCAGTACTGCTCCACTGCCACAGGACATGCTTCAGGGGAGGTGTTAGCTCTGTGCAGAGCCAGCTCCAGCACCCAGGCTGGGAGTAGTAGCAAAGGGTGCTGTGACTGTGGTATGTGGAGGAGCAAAATGGCTGTGAGTGGCAGCCAGGCTGGCAGAGCAGTCACAGAGCTGCTGTTTCCCTGCTGCTGCAGGGCAGTGTTTCATTGTGGACATGGTGAAAGAAGGCAGTAGTCATGCAGCTGGCAGGACAGAGTCTTCCTGTTGGATTCTTGCTTGGTTAGTAGATCTGACAGCCTACAATCCTGATTTGCTTTAGTTTTGTTTATCATACTGGGAGAATGAGGTAGTACTGAGCCTGCTACATAGAATGGCAAAGCAGAGATCTGGGAAACCATTCCTGAAAGGTTGGGGGAATAATATGGCTTTATGGCTTAACTTATATGGCTTTGTTTTGGTTTTCCAGGGCGCCAGCTGCTGAGGTTCCAGGAGGATCTCATCTCCTCAGCTGTGGCTGAGCTCAATTATGGGCTATGCTTAATGACACGAGAAGCTCGAAATGGTGATGGTGAACCCTATGATCCAGATGTACTCTACTACATCTTCCTGTGCATTCAGAAGGTAGGGGGAGGACAGGTCTCTCTGCAGCAGAGCCATGCATCTTGTCAGCATGTAGAGGGAGGGTTCTCTGTTATAGAAATGGAGGCCCTGGCTTCACAACAGTTTGTAAGACAAAGTCTCTGCTTAAAAATAAACAAACAAAACCCCAACCAGATGAAATGTGGTCAGTGCACAGCAATGCTCTCCTCTCATGAGTTAAATTTGTGAAGAATCGTTAATAACCGAGTTCAGGATGATGGTGAGAATGATAAATTTTGGGTATTTTGGCAGGGGAGGAGGGTTGGATGATGCTTGAGGCAGTTATCAATGTCAAAACTTGATCTAGTTGAAGCTTTAACAGGCAAGAACTTAGCTTTGTGTGGTGTGGGAATTCTAAGCTGGTAATATTAGTGTGCTTTCTGAAGAGCTGCAAGATGGATCTAAACTCTGATAGGAGGGTTAAGAATTGTCTCCGTCCTTAACCTGCAACATTAGCATCCAAAGGACAGTCATGTGAAATAACCTGAAGTGAAAGGTGAAGTCTCACCAGTTTGACTTTCGAAGACGGTTTTTCCTTTCTCTCCTGGCATTCTCATGACAGTAACTGAGATTACCTGCCCTGCACTGGCCTTGATGCAAGGGTTTTCCCTCTAAGTAGAATGTTTTCAGTGCTATGCTGTAAAATGCTTGACTAACCAGTACTGGGCTTTTAGGCTAAGGTCTGGTGTTGGAATTACTTGCTCTGACTGTGCTGGACTGTGTTGTGACTCTCTTTCAGTATCTCTTTGAAAATGGCCGAGTAGATGACATCTTTTCAGATCTCTACTACATTCGATTCACTGAATGGCTGCATGAAGTTCTGAAGGATGTCCAGCCCCGTGTGTCCCCTCTTGGTAAGAACTTCTGTTCAAGAATTTTAAGCCTTTCTGGAGTTTGGGATGTTTAAACTGGACAGCAGCAGAAACTCTTGAAGTGCTTCATGTCCCTGGGACAGCTCTGCTTGTCAGGGAGAAAAATCCTGTGTCTGCAGTGACTGCTGAGTTACAGCATGAGTCAGGCTCTAGCCCTGTCAAGGGCTATTTTTCTATCACTTCTCACCCATCACAAGGCAGGTTGTTGGGAATTTGTAGTATCATGAGCATAGCTTACTTGGAAGCCAGCTGATCCTTGATCTGAATCAAGCTTTCTCCTCTGAAGTACTTATACATCTTGTCTCTGATATGTACTGTAACTCGGGGAGATAATACAACGCTGTCATACTGCCATGTAGCCAGATGGATATGGTCTGCAGGGCTAAGTAAGTGTCAGAGAAAAAAACAGTGTGTGATTAGAGCCTTGAATTCTGTGGTGAAATGCAGCTCAGCCCTGGGCTGAGAAAATGATCGCAGCAGGGGTGAGGGGATCACTTCCAGAAGAGAGAGATTTTGACAGAGTTATTATGTGTGAAAACTAGATTAAGAACTGCACTTTCAGAGCAGGAAACCTGGCTGCTCCTCCTTTTGCTCCCTTTGATCTGGTACGACATCAGTGAAGAAGCTACTGCTTGTGTTGAGCATGGTAGCTGATGTTACAGGCTCAATGGCTCAGTAGCACCGAGAGTTTGGGAATCCTTTTGTTTTCACTCTGGCTGTTTGATCTGTGTTTTGGCATTCTCAAGTGCTAGAGTTCATCTTGCTGTCTGTTTCCCTGTTTATCTATGTATTTGGAGTATAGTATTTCTCTTTTACACGAAGGATAAAAAAATCCGAGAATCAAAGGATTACTCATGTGTCCAAAATACATCACTTGGCACTGTGTTGACTAAAGCTGTGTGCAGGGCCAAGAGCTGATTTGTTACACTGGCCTGCCTGCTCTCACATATTATTGGATTAGGAGCATCTGCATTGGAGTTGAGCCATTAATTAAAAGCTGTTTAAGTGATGTTTATTCCTCCCTGGGCTGGTATGCATGGGCGTGCTGCAGAAGCATACCCTCCACAACTAGCAGTTGATGTATGTATTTAAGGGGTTCCTAATCATTCCTGCTGTTTAAAGTTATTTGCACACTAGTGACCTTTTACACCAGTGAGGATCTCCCCCTCCTCCTCCTCCTTCCCTTCAGATTTAAATGTTCTCCAGTAGCTACAGACTACAAATCACTGCTGTGACTGTTTCCTGGCATGATGCTGACTTTTGGTTATTGCAGGTTATGTACTCTCCAGTCATGTAACAGAAGAGATGCTGTGGGAGTGTAAGCAGCTGGGAGCTCACTCCCCTTCCACCTTGCTCACTACACTGATGTTTTTTAATACAAAGTAAGTACTCACGTCTTTGGGGATTTTGGGGAATAAACTTCAGACACATTGGCAGGGTTGGCAGGAAATTACTGCACCAGGTTAGGGCAGAATCGTGGATTCCAAGGGGTTGCACACAGAGTCCTGCAGCCTCATCAGGCAAAGATGCAGAGCAACAAGGAAAGGAGCTGCTATGGGGAAACTGAACTTGTGTTTGTGGCTTCGCTGCTGGAACAGTCTTTAAGTCTGTGTTGGTTTAAGCTTCAGCTGAGCAAAGATGACTGCTTTGGTGTTGTCCTGTATCCTTTACTTGCCCCTGAATGTCCTGTGTTCTCTTCTTGCTACTCAGATACTTCCTGTTGAAAACAGTAGACCAGCACATGAAGCTGGCCTTCTCCAAGGTGTTGAGGCAGACCAAGAAGAACCCTTCTAATCCCAAGGATAAAAGCACGAGTATCCGCTATCTGAAGGCTCCTGGCATACACCAGACAGGACAGAAAGGTAGTGTCTGCAAGTGTTTTGGGTGGACTCTTTACTTACTGGCCTTGAAGGAGGTGGATGAACTATGAGAACCCAAGGCTCTGCCAACTACTCTCAGCCCAGCAGCATGTATTCTGTGTGAGAGAGTGCAGTACCTTCTCATAATGAGCCTGGGGGCATAACCTTAACGTGGGGTGTATACAGGACTCATCAAGAGCTAAGGATAACTTTGTTACTTTTATTTTTTATGGACAAAGGGTCTATTGGGTGTAAGTGCTTATGAACAGAGGGAGAAACTTCTTTGGGAGGGCTTCCCTTACCTTGACTCATGTGAACCCAGATAAAATCTGTATGTAAGTACCATCTATCCTCTTCAAAGCACCGGCTCGGGGTTTAGATGGGGCACTGCAGCCTCAGCAGTGAGATGTCTCTCATTTTGGGCTGTGCAGAGGAAAAATGGAAAGAAGGATGTGACTGGGTTGTGATCTTCAGTAGCACTGACATAAGGTGAACTCTCCATAAAATGCTTTGAGCATTTAGAACCAGGTGCTTCTGCCCTGGCACAGTCTCTTTTATGGTGACAGGTTGCTGCCTGGCACTGCTTAGTGTGCTGTACTTATACAGTGTCTGACACACTTTTGGGGGGGGCTGGTTTGTAGTTACAGATGACATGTATGCAGAGCAGACTGAGAATCCAGAGAACCCCCTGAGGTGTCCCATAAAGCTGTATGACTTCTACCTCTTCAAATGGTGAGAGCTCTTGTTCATGTCTGTCACTGCTTTGCCTTCTGTGACTGTTAAGCTGCATCTTGTGGCTGGCCTAGTTTTCAGGGCTGTGTTTTCTAGCTGGCACAGTTTCTATATTTGCATAAATTTACCTAAAATGGGGAGGGGTGTTGGTGTGAGAGGGTGGGATTTACTCTGACTGCACCTAAGCTGAACTTCCGTGGTATTTGAGGGAGACAAATCCTCATTTGTGAACTGGCTGCTCTTAATCTCATACTCCAGAGGTTTGCTGTGTTGCCATGAGCTCACTGTTCTGCCTGGGACTTGTGGGCATCCACTACTTGAGATAAGATTAGAGTCCTATTTAAATTGGCTTCTGAGCAAAATTGAGGACAACTTACTGGAGGGAGCCTCAAAGGACTCTCATCTAAATTATGACTGATAATGAATGTAAATGTTCCTCTGCACAGATGGGTCTGCAGCTAGCTTGGCTGTGCAAATACCTCATCCTTGCTTTACTCTGAAAGACCCGCAAAGCTCTCTGTGTGTTATACTTAACCAGTGTGAAATACAAATCACTTTCTTGTAGTCATTACTATGGCTTTTTAACCTTGACTTGGCCTGAAAGCTTTGGGACCACTGTTGTCTGTAGATGTAACTCCTAGATGTAATGTCTCATCAGCCAGAAGTTCACTGTGAGGGTCTGTAGAGCTGGGGTGAGGACTGTGGTGGTCTCTCCCTCCCAGGACATTGTGTTAGCCTGGTTATTTCTGATCTTCCTCACACAGCCCCCAGAGTGTGAAAGGCCGGAATGACACGTTTTACTTGACACCGGAGCCAGTGGTGGCCCCCAACAGCCCGATCTGGTATTCCATCCAGCCCATCAGCAGAGAGCAGATGGAGCAGATGCTCACCCGGATCCTGGTGATACGAGAGATTCAGGAAGCTATTGCCGTGGCTAATGCCAGCACCATGCACTAAGGCATCCTTCTTGGCTCAGAAGGGGTGGGGAGGGTGATGGGGGAGGGACAAGCAAAGAGAAATTGTACAGACTTTTACACTAAAGGAGATGCCTAAGTTTTTGTTTTTTTTATTGGTGTAGTTATGAAGCCCTTTTAGGCTTCTTCTCTTTAAAAAGAATCTAAAGGAAAAAAAAAAAACCTGCCCATTGTGTATCCTTACCCAACCTACCAAACTGTTGGAACCATTGGAGGCTGCATATCCCTGGGAGCTGTGGAAAGCTGCTGGTTGACTCTGGGTTGTTGTGTTTTTTTATGATGTAGAAAACATGAACCCACATGATTGGCCTGGCTGGCTGGGGCCTCTGTCTCCTTGGAGCACGTGCAGCCTAGAGGGCACAGAATGCTGGATGGACCTGCTCAGCCAGTGGAGGAGAGGCAGGCATCTTCTTTTCTTGTGCTTGGATGTTAATTTGCTGTTATCTTGGAAGAGGAGAGAGTGAACTGCAGTTGTGATTTATACAAAAACAAAAGCAAACCAACGATTTCTATTCAGACCTTTAAGTGACATTTTTAGATGTTAAAAGTACAAACTTTACCACACTTTTGTTTTGGATTTTTTTTTTTTTTTTGGCCTAACGTTGAGGCCTTAAACCTCGAGGCTCCTGTGCCTGATGGAATTCTTGTAACATACACTTGTGTATCATATAAAGATACCACCCTGTTTCTCTTATGTATTCTTACTCTAGTTGTTTATTAAGAATGACGAGCACGTCTTTTCAACATGCCATTGAACAATGTGTCTTTATTTGGGGAAGAGTGAGCTGTGAGGGTGGGGGGGGTCATTATATAAAGGTCAGTATGCAAACTGGTTGTTTTCATCCCTGTTTGTGCTTTCCAGCTCAACTCCGCTGGACTTTTCACCTAAATTAGGAAGGTAGAAGGTGATTAAACTTCTGCTGAAGGACCTGAATGTCTGCTTGCTGATGGAAGCTCAGTGTCAGGCTAGGAACATGGGGTCTGTGAGACCAGCTCAGACTGTCCAAATGTTCTGTGGCCAGCCTGTGAGGCTTCACCCTTAGGCGAATCCCCTTCTCCTCACCTTCACAAATGCATCACACCAACAGCATGATGGAGGGGTGTTGGAGGGAAAAAGCCTTCCAGGAGCAGCACATGGCCTACTCCTGCCATTTAACAGCCTTGTCACAGTTTTTAACACAGCTGTGTAGCTTCTGGCATCATCCATGACCATAACCCCCATCCCTTTAGCCTTGCCTTGCTGCATCTTAAATGGTTGCTGTATTTTATACCATTAACAAACAGTCTGCTCTTTTGAAGCCGGCAGGTAGCCAACCATGCTTGAAATGGGAGAGCACTCCAGGCTTGTTGTTTGTGCCACCAGCTTCTCAGATGTGGAGAGATGATTCTGCTTCTTGAATTTGTCTTCCCTGCTTCTCCATCTCATGTCCGTTCCCTGTTCCAAAATATATAGATGCATATTTAAATATATATTGCAGTAAAAGGACTTAAACTTGTGTACAGGCAAGCAGTTTTTCTGAAGCTTGTGTTGGCCAGCACCTGTATTGAGAAAGAAGGTCTGTCCTCTGTCAGTGTAAATGTTGAGAGTAGCCACAGTGTTCCCTGTCTTTGTGCTCTTGAGCAGTGTTGAGATGTGCAGGCTGAGAGACTTGAGCCTCTGATGCTTCATATTGACATCGGTGCTCATGAGGAAGCAGCTGTGCTTGAGCTGGTTGTCAGTTTGCTCCCTGAGCAGGGCTCTGTGCTCAAGTAGGTGCAGAGAGGTGAAGTGGCAGTGCTCTGTTCATGAATACCTGCGCTCTGAAGTAGCCTCTTAGCTCAGTGTCTGCTCCTTGTTACGCCGGGGGAAAACAGTCTGGGGTTGGTGCCCAGATCCCAGTGGATGAGTTGGGAAGGTGGTGCTTGGCTGGTGTGTAGTGCTGGGAACTTGACTCAGCTCAGTTCAGCCAGCAGTTGCCCCTGTCAGGGTGGCTGTTGAGATTGCTAATGCTGCTTCAGCTGTCAGAAGCCTCTAATCCCTTTGCTGTATCTTAGTGACTGCAATGTCCATCTCTGGCCCTAGTTAAGTGTTTAAGGACATGGTTAGGGGCAAGTTCCAAGCAGCTGAGTGTGCTTGTTGCCTGGGATGCGCATCAGGCCTGCGCAGAGTGGATATCTCATTCTTCTGGGCAGTTTGTCTTCTGAACAGAGTTGCAAAGGTGTGAGAGACTGCAGGCAGCTGTGCTCAGTGTGTGCTGTGCAGCACTGCATGGGGAGCTATTCCATATATCCAGCATTCCCACACCTCAGCGTGAGCATGCTGCTTTGTCTGCATCAGAAATGGTGTTGAAGTCATCTGCCATATGCCCAGTATCCAAGCTGCTTCATTAGGTGCCCTTGGGAGTTGCCTCTTACTCTAAAAATTGAGAGAAGCTGAATTCACTTGACAGAACATTAGGGCAGTTCCAGGTTAGGGGTGAACTGACACCTCCGCTGAGCCTTCTGGGGAAACAGAATTCCATGTTACCTTGAAATTCTGGCTTGTGCACTTCCCTTACTGCCCTGAACTGCAGATGATCCACAGTCTTTGTAGGGGAAGAGTTCTCCTTGATCTTGTACCATGTAAGAACTTGGCACGTGGTGAGCTCTGGAGATCATCTGATGGTTGGTTTTGTCCTGAAAAAATGAAGTGTTTCCATTTCTCATTGTCCAGACATACACAGGAAAGGAATTTGCTGATGTGGAAGTAGACTGCTGTACTGTCTCATCAGAACGTCCACCGTGTTCACTTCATTCCCTATTTTTAGAGACAATCGATATACTGTGACTTAGGGATTGTTTTCCTGGACCTGGCTTCTAGTCTGGCTCTCTGGAGCTGGTTTAAAAGGTACAGTATTTCTAGAATATAGCTATTATGTTCTTTGATAGTGAAGAACATGATCTGCTCACTTGTAGGGGCTCATAGGAAGATGTGCCCAGAGTAGCACAGAAGAGTGCTGTGGCTTAGGGTTGCTATCCAAGTTCTGGGATGTGTTCCCAGTCAAACATGTAAAATAGCTTTTTAACACTTTCCTATATCCAGCTTGACTGCTGCTTTAAGGGCATTCCTGTCGGCTCCCAGCGTGCCAAACCGCTAGCTCCTGTACGTGTATGTATTAAACAGGAACTCTGTGCCCTCTGCCTTGTATGAGACAGGCTGAAAATGATCTCTGCATAACTAAAGCTGAGAAGTCAAGCTAGAGACCCTGCCCTGGTGGTGTTCACCTGTGCCCACCTTGTCCCTGTAATGTGAAAGGAACCATAGGAGGTGGAGCATGACTGGCTATTGTAAAGCACCTCACCTTCTGACATGAGACTTGTGGGCTGTCTGATTTCTTGGCACTAACAGCCTTGCTTTCCTAAGAGAGCTCATAGCTGCTTACACACTTATTCATGGCACCATTAGATGTTTGTTCAGTTCAAGTGGTAATGGCTTGAAGCAGCAGAGAGCAGACTGCAGAGTGGCTTTGTACTCTGACCTAGGGTTGTGAGTAAAGGGAATGGCCTAAATAACTTCATAGGGCTCTCATCTGTTGGCTGCCTCACTCCTAGAGATCTGGATTTTAGATGGGAGACAAGGTCTGAAGTAGTTCCTGAATTACTACTGCCTTGGACCAAGGAAGAAAAGACAAATCTGATCCCTAAATAGGAATCCTCTTGTGTGCTGTTGCTTCTCGGGCAGAAGTTAAGGAGAGTCTTGTTCTCAGCTGCATCAGGGCTATGGTCTGCCTTGGTGTACACAGAAGGGATTGTTCCATCTTCACGCCTCCTGTGCTGTGACAAGAACAGATCCAGCCATGGCAGAAAAGAGCCGCCTGAGCATTCATGAGGTGGAGGACTTGCTGATGCTGTAGTTGATCATCCTCTTGCTGGTCTGAGTGCTGCTAGGCAGATAACTCTGGCAGTCCAACCAGCCGGCATTCTCATCTAAGTTTGTTAGTGCAATTAGCATTTGGCCTCTTGAATCACTGTTGAAGTGAGATATAAATTGTCTTCCACCCTACATGGTGCTTTTCTCCTCATCTTCTTGCTGCAGCTGCTCCTCTTTGCTACAGGGAACATACCTTATCTTGATGCTTCAGCCCATTCTGTTTCATGGTGCCAATGCTTAGGGAAGAGCCCTCTCAGCTCGAGCATCTTCCTACCTTAAGGAGCATCTCGCATCTTCCAGCAGTCTCACTGACGCACTGCCCCAACACCCCTGAAGTACTTGCCCTGTCGCTTACTTGTCTCTTCCCTTCCTTGTGTGGCTGAAGCCTGGCTCTCAGCACTGCAGTCCCTTTCCCTGTATAACCTCATGCATGGCAGCCACACTTGCCTCCCTGCCCATTCTCCTTTGAGCCCATCAGAAGGGGGGGCAGGTTTGACCCCACTTATAGCAGCAATAAACTGCTCCTAGAACTTGAGGGCCCTCGAGGTGGAGGGGATGCGTGGGACAGGCAGGGTCCAGTTGCAGCCCAGAGCCTCGCTTGATCATGAGTGTGCAGCCTATATGCAAAACACGTCCTGTCTATCCCTCCTGTGTTGACCCTCGTCTAAACAGCACATGTGATTGGCATCCTGCAAAGTGACCTTCAGAACTCTCCAGTAGCTTTGCCCCGTGAGTAACTCACACTACAAATCATTTTAAAGAGATGCACTCAACTATTTTTTTAATTTAATTTTACTCTTATATTCTCTGCTCTTTGTAATCTGCTTGGAAATAAAATGTTTTTTTCCCTGCAGCCTTTGTTGTAGTCTCTTTGAGATCCGTTAAACTTTGCCTGGTGTTTCTCTTGGAACAGAACCCAACCTGTTTTACTGCTGGGCTTTAGCCTAACAGCCGAGGTCGGTGTGTGCCTCCTAGGTAGGCTGAGCAAACCTTTGTTAGTGCTGCCCTTGTTTAAAATAAGGGGTAGAGAGACCTGTTAAAGTGATCCTCCTCTGGCACGGTGCCTCCTGTTCTGCTGAGCCTGTCACAGCCCTTCACTGTTGGTGCTGCGAGCCCGAGTGCCTCCTTTTGCGCAAAGGACAGAGGTTTTTGTACATCTCCTTGGCCCCGGCGAGCTGCAGGTGCCAGGAGATTTGGGTCCGGATGGGTGAAACCAGCTCTTAGCTGAGGATCAAGCCAGGAGTTACGTAAAGATGTGGCACTAGGGTGAAATGCAGGCTTGGCAGGGAACGAGTCTTGAAACCCTGCAACGTTCACTGTAGTGTAATGACAAGAGCTGTTGGCATGTGGCTGAGGGGAGGGGATGAAGAGGGGTTTGATGCTGGCATTCCCGGTGATCACAACAGGATTGTACCGTTTCCTTGCCTTAACGTTCTAAGCAGCGTTGTGGATCCTCGTTGCTGGCTGTTGACTACACGAGGGCCACGCGTGCCGTTGTGCCAGCCGCTGAGCTCCCATGGGCCCGTGTTTCCGCGCACGCCACCCGCCTGTGGTCGCGTTTAGACGGTTTCCCACGCACGGGCCAAGCCGGGCAACGCTTTAACGGGGCTGTACCGGGGGGGGGGAGGTCACCCCGGCACCGGTTCCTCCAGACCAACAGGGGGCGATGTCAGCGCTGTTTCGCTTTCTGGTGGGCCGCTCTGGGTGGGCGGCCCGCGATCCCTCGCGGCCGCCGTCGGTGCGCGCGCGCGCGGCAGGGGCGGGCACGCGGCGGGGGGGGGGGGGCCCAGCATGGCGGACTACCTCATCAGCGGCGGCACCGGCTACGTGCCCGACGACGGGCTGACGGCGCAGCAG